ACTGGCTTAAGTATTACATTTTTTACTCCAGTCTTGGCTGGAAATCTAGCTTTATTTGAAAATGAGTATTTTTTAAAAAACTTACTCTGTATCTTTTATTTTATTTTAATTTTTTTTAATTTAGCAACTTTGAATCATTTGTCAAGAACATTACCCAACATTATCTTCAAAATTCCCAGCCATGATGAGGGCATGGAACTACTCAGTAATGGATGTTGATAAGAATTATTGAATAATAGTAAATAAATAAAAAGATCAAATCTCTTTCAAACTTTGCAAAATGGAAATGATTTTTGAAACATTGGTTTTCCTTGTTTGCTTCCATTAGTTTTAACTGTTCTCCAAATAATTCCTCTTCCTTTCTTGTTATGAATATGCAATTATTATTATCCTTGCCTTGGTCTGTGCAACCAACTTACACGCTCTTCTTCACAAATCAGTCCTATCAGTTCTTACTTATTTTTTCTTAAATTTATTCCAGTTGTAAATATGGTATCACCACTCAAAGACACAAACATCGGCTTCCTCGGCTTTGATATAAAGCTCCACTATATGCAGTCTACAATTTCTGCTTGCCATTCTGATACAGTGAAAAATTGTACCCAGTTCCCTATATTCTATAACTCCTTTTATGCTGAGCTGCTTTTCGTAAATTTGCTTCTGAATTAATTTTTTTTTGAATATTTCATTATCTCAGTCTTCATTTTGCCATTTGAAATCTATTTTTGATAAACATGGACAAGAATTCCTGTAAAATGTCAAGACTTCAAATGCAATTGTCGTCAGCTCAGTTCCACTGACCTCAGCGGAAATTTAGCATGGAATCTTGCAGGATGCACACAAAGATTTGCAGGTGTAGGACCCATATTTGCAGATGCAAATGTATTTAGTTGATAATAGAATTACAGTAATTATGCTCCCTTTATATAACTATTGCAACATGACATCGCTATTAAGACAATGCAAAACTGCCACTGCCATTTTCAGTCTAAATCATATGGTGTGCTTCAGCAAAATTTTAAAACAGTTAATAAATGAGAATGTTGGTTTGCAATTCCAGTCATCTATTTTCAGAGAGAAAATATGGAACTAGAAAAAGTGCAAAGAAAAACAACAACGGCAATCACTAGTATGGGATGCATGTCATATTTGGAGAGATTTAAACAGGCTAGAAAAGAAGTGTTTGAGTAAGACATGATGGAGGTAGAAATAATCAGCAGTAACACAGAAAACATAAGTAGGGAACAAATTATTCACTATTTCTGATAATATAAGCACAAAAGGGCATTCTACATGTTATTAAAACGGCAGTAGGTTTAATAAACTATGTAGAAGGTTTAAAAAAATCCTATAAAGTACTTTCTCTCAATACCCAGAATTAAATTGTGGCACTTATTTTCACAGTTGAACCATTAGTGGAAGACAGTCCAACCAAGGTCTATCAAATGCAGTGATGTGGATGCAATCTTTGTCTCAAAAAGGCTTTAAAACACATAATGCTGGAAGCCAGGAGTCTCTACTTCCCATATCCTTTACTATTTCCCTCAGTTTAAGCTGTTGTGAGGTACTGACCTCACACAAATTGAGAGTACTGGCACCGACCTTACACAATATTGAGAGTATTGGCCTGAATGGATTTCAGATCAGAATGGTCGATTTATATTGTGTTACCGCAAGTGTTTCATATAGCAACACTTTCTGTGGCAGTATTTAATATCTAGACCATGATTATAACATCCATTGCAGAAAAAAGAACATGTAAATATGATAATTTCCATTGGAATTATTACCTGTAAATAACCCACATAAAATATATTTATAATATTTTATACATAAACTGTTTAAGATGAACAGTCTTTTGAACATGCTCTGGAACCCAGGTCTCCTCTCTTACCAGCTGAGTGATCAATCCACAGAATAAGATAATCATTCTCTTTACCTCTTCATGATTCTCTAATTATTTCAAACAAAGAGAAACTAAATCAAGAGAAAGGTTGGCCATGCTTAACTTGCTTCTCCTTCCCCTTCCATGTAACTTACTGTATCTGGGATACAGCATTTTTCTCTGCAAGTAGATGATGTAAGTTTGAATTCTTCTGGCAGGAGAAGTTATGAAACCCAGGACACTGACATCTTGAGTGAGGGCTATAGAAACCAAACTACTGGATTCTTGAGAAAACATTAATTTTCTGCCACTTGGCTTTTACTTTGAAGCAGAATATTAGGGAGAGACATATAAAAGCTGAAGCTGGAATGGTTCTGCTAAAGAACTTTTGGTAACTGAGGCACTAGACTGTCTAGATCAGGAGACTGGAATGATCCCAACGATCCTACCGAAGGCCATTGGGATAATAGCATCATTTCTGCTGTGGGGGATGCTGATGTTGATTAACTGTCCATGTGGTGTCCTTTACTGAAGAAGATTACTACAAAGAGAAATGATACTTATTACTGTTCTCTATGAGCTATGTCTGAAAAGACCAAAATACAGTGAAAGAGGACTTCTTACTACATTTTTAGTTCTGCTGAGCCTCATGTATATGGAATTGTGAAAAAACAGCTAGTAAGAAAATATCATTGTGGTATAAGATACCATTTTTTCAGCACACCTTTAGATTTTATACTAACAGACACTCCAGCTAAAATGAGGGTGTATAGGATCATAAAAAATATACTGTGAAATACAGCACATCTTACATGCTAGCAGCTTCAAGGAAAGAAATATATGTGAAAAGAATAGCCGGATAAAATGTAAGCCTAAGAAGAATACTCAGGCAAATAATGGAGGATTAAAGAAAAATAATAACAGAGGAAGAGTGGAAGATCTATGGAAGATGATGCAAAGCAACAAACATATAGATGACTATGATGAGTGGCAAAAGATCTTTCCATAGGAATGAGTATTCTGCAGTAGTTTCCTGGTCCTTAAGAGTACAGGAAGCAATCCAAGAGGGAACGCTGGGCATGAGTGAATAGGATGAATTTCTCATGGTATTTATACCCTAAGTAGACTAGGTAAACCTAACACACAAGCCTCAACCTAGATGGTCAAAAATTTTGTTCAAAATTGATGCTGGAATACTACTGTCAACACTGCATTTCCAATAAAAACTATAATGGATTAGGTTGGAGATATATGCAGATCTTACCAGATGAGTCAGGTAAAATACTGGCAGTTTCAGCTAATTGATAGCCAATCTGAAGAAAGGGCAAGAAATTTTTTAATAATTACATATGCTGTACATGGACTAAGAATTCAAACAATAGTCTACTCTTAAAAAAGAAACTGAAATGCTTTAATATCAAAAAGCAAAATATGGAAGTGATTTAGCCACATATCCTTCCAGAGTAAAGCTGAATGCGGCACAAAATTAAAGATGCACTACATGAAACTGGTAGCAATTCTTTTTGGAGTCATTGCCTTTCTCATGGTCACATCTTATCTATATTCTTACTGAGGAAAGTAAAGAGCAGAAAATATAGGATGCAAGATATAAACAGAGAAGAGAATGAGGCAGTAAAGAATGGGGCAGGCATTAAAAAATGGCAATGACAGAGGAAAGACAAAAGAAGTTAAGAAAGAGGAAAGGAGAAATATGGCATGATAAAGTACTATCTAGAGTGAGAACATATAAGACAGAATCAGAGTCTACAGAAAAGAAAAAAATACTGGTTTTACTGACTATTCTACCAGACTTTAGTAAACCTCTTCGATTTCTTGTTCTTGTTGTAAGTAAGCACACAACACATTAAAGCAGTTGCTCCAGTTTGATGGATAGAGATGCCTAGTACTGATGGATCCCTAGTAGATGCACAGAGATGCCTAGTACTGAGGAATTCCTAGTACTGAGGGATCCCTAGTACTGAGGGTTTGCTTTTAAAAAATTAAAGTCCAAATAAATGTCTTGAATGTCATTATATTATCACAGAAAACCAGAAATTAAAGTGTTAGGCATTAACAAAACTCTATTATTATTATCAAAACATATTAACTTTCAAAATACAATTTTACATTACACCTGTTGGAATAAATATATGTCTTAGGGCCTGCGTAATTCAGAAAGCCAACTTAGATAATCAGAGATATGTGAATTATGCTTTACGTGAAAGGATCTCAAGGCATTTTATAAACATTACCATGTTAAGTCTCACAGTTTTTTCCTCTGGATGCATTGTTTCTAAATCATCATTTTCAAAATTAAGACACTGAAATAGAATGAAAGAAGTAATGATACCAAGTAGCTTAGGAAATGTAACGTCTTAGTATAATTCTCTATATTATGCATCTCCTTTCCTAGAAGAGACCGAGCTTTGATCATTAGCCAGTGATTGCTTCCGGAATCTCATATTTGACGAGTACTTTTTCAATTTAGAGTTGGAATTTATTTAGAATAAATTAACAAACAATTGAACTTTAAAAAATATTTAATAGCTTTCAGCAATTTATATCAGCTTTTAATAGTCATTACCCACTTAAGAAGTTGACTATACCCTTCCCTTTGGAAGTAAGTTTGTTTTCTAAAAGCTGGGAGACTTAATTACTGCTTTACAATTTTCTGTATTTTATTTCTATACAGTTTCAACGTAATTACAGGGTGGGCATTTCTCAAAAGCTAATACTGAGGCTTTTTAGTTAAGCATCCGGACAATCTTAAACTCTCAAGTCCTACCATGTAATAACTGCCAAGAATGATGCTTCTCGATGAACATTCAGAAGGCATATCAGTTCAATAGCTAAGTAGTGGGTATACAGTAGACCCAAAGAACTGTGTATTATAACAACACATTAGGAGCTGAAATCTACTTTTACCAACTTTTATGTAATCAGCAACAGCAAAAATTCTATCTAAACACTTTATTTGCTAAATGCTTTTTCAAATTATGATATGATAGAAATCTGATATTATTTTCTGACTATTAGTTACCTAACCCAAATACGATACTAGGTTTTACTCTGCTTTTCCCTTTTATAGGTAGTGCTGGTGAACCTGTTGATATGCATGGTAGTTTTCTATGCTGTGTACTATGTGGTCCTATCTGTCTGCTTTGCAGCATTCAGGTAAGATTTCTTTGCTTTAGTCTAATATGATTGCATAATACAACTGGATGTAATAGATAGAATTATGATTCTGTAGTGCAATAGAGAAGGCATCCAGATGGCAAGCACCCTGTCTCAGTTATTCCATGAGCGTACTTTCAAACTCAGCTAAATTGTTGCAACTGAACCTTCATTTAAATGCACAAATTAGCAAATGCCTACTCAAAATTACTATGAAATGCTGGTTCCTTGCACTTGCACTGCTTGAATAAATGAATGTAAGAGAAAAGATGATGTGAAAGAAGAAAAGAAAAGATTTTATAGTCAATAAAAAAGACAAATTATCTTCCCTTAGGAAGTTACTGATTAGCATGTATAGTGCCAGACACGTCTTAAATAAAAGTGGAGATTATAGGTACCGCATGCAGGGGCAAGACTATGACAAATAATGGAATGTAGAAAGCTTGTAAAAGCCCAGAATACTCCATTTGAAAACTTATTCTAAAAAACACGTTACACGACTATTAAGACCCTATTGAAAATTTTTGGTTAAACTTATTCATTATATTTCCACAGAATTAAAATGTTGGATGGTTTGGCACCTTTTGATTTCAAGACAAATCCCTCCTGGATTGACCCATACTATTTAGGTAATTTGTTTCTCTGTTTCTCTCCGTTTAAGCTTATTTTTCTGGATGTAAACTTTTATTCCTCATGGATAGTATTTTAAAGCCTTTTCAGTAATGCTAATGTTTTCAGTATTTTGACTGTACTGCATTTAAAGTTTATTCATACTCCATGCACTTCTCATTTAGGTACTGCCACTTATCGTTCTAGCAATTCTTAGGCACTTCCTTGTGTTGCTCTTTTAATTTTGCGTCATTGTGAAGAAAATGTGCTGCTCTACCAAGATGCTTCACTTTCATTATGAAACAATTACCTGTTCTCTGTAAAGTTTCTCCACAAAGTTGTAAAATTTAAATTCATATTGCAGTAAATTTTTTATGACCCATGTTGTATCCAGAATCTTATGTGATGCCATAAATAATACGTCATATTCCACTAATAAAAATTTGCTTTGGCAATGCCTGAATATAGTTGGCATTAAAATGTCAGGGTTTGATTGTAGTTCCTAATACAAATTCCCGCATTTTTGTCTGAAGCCTTTAAAATATATTCTTTTTTTGAAAAACTGTCATACCTAAAAAATTATATGCATAAATGAAGCTTTACCAGATTTGTAACCTATTTCACAAAGGCAGACCACATCATCTGGAATTAAAACTGCTCAAAGATAATTGTCTAGAACATCAGGTGAAAAAAGAGGAATAAAAATGCATGGATATTTTTACTGCTTTCAGATGAAAAAGGAACATTTCAGCTGTAGCAATGGAAAAAAAAATCATATTCTATTAGAATTACTTTTCAGGGCCTTAATGCAATTACTGTATCTCAAAATGATTTTTTTTTTCAAAATTATACCTGATGGTTTGATGCAGCATATTTACAACTTGCTGAAAACAGTAACTAGATCATGCATCTGGTTAGTATTGCATCCTCCTTTCTCTCCACCTGATAATGTGAAATAGCAAAGCACAATAGGAGCTGTTTAAAGTCAGTGGACACCAAGATATAAGTAAGGTCTCTACATGATGTTGCAACTGAGACTTAGCTTACTCAAGGGTCTCACATGCCTGTGAAAAATAGAATTATGTCTTTAAAAGATAACTTCCAGATAAAAATGGAAATCTCAGGTCAGAACTGAGGTATTGTTACTGGCCCAATTTTGTAGAAAGTTTGTAGATTATCTGTCTGCACTAAGAATAATCACTAAATTATAAAATTATTGGCAAAATTTAAAGGGACACTATCATCATGAAAGCTAATAAACTAAAAAACAGTAATCAAATGCATTGTCAAGCATTACATTTTTTAAAGTGTCTTCTAATTTCCTCACCTCCTGTGGTTTCTTAGTTATCTGTTTCTTATTTCTTACTTTTTTTTTAAACTGCTAGGTGAAAGATCCACATAAAGAACAGTAAGAACTAACTGACTGACTCTATGAAGAAAAATGCACAAACTGTTGCCAAATGTATAAATTAAATACAGTGAAAAAATAATAATATTCTCTCTACTCTTAGCTGAAGTAATCTTAAGTATTATATTACTGCAACAGTTGAAAAATAAATAATTCAGTATGTGACTTTTATATGCCTTTATTTTAAAAAGAAGAACAAAATGTATTTATGTTGAAAATTCTATGAATTAAAAAGGCACAGTTATGGTCTGTTATATAAGCTGTTGATGACAAGAATTCAGGACTATAGCTAAAATGGGACCTTACATGTCTTCCATTCAGTCCCCTGCTATCTCAGACAGCCACCTAGCATAATCAATCCTTTTGACCAAATAGTCAAATTTTACCCTAAAAGTGGTTGATTTCGTTACCCATACTAGCAAGGAAACAAACTGAAAGCTAAGCACCTGTCTATTGCATTGTCAAAGAACACACTTCACAAAATACTTTAATGGCGTTTCTCATCCTTCCCAGTTTAGCTGCTCTATGTCTTTCTAGACTGTAAGGAGGCATGGCTTGACTGTGCCATAACTTGTCCAGAATTATGCCCAGCATCAACGTGAGGCTGTCGTTACAGGCTGATGGCACAGTAAGGCTCATTATAGTCCAGAAAAGGTGTGGAAGTGGGGATAGAAATTGGGCTGTTTCATCACTGAGAGAAAGAACTTGGTTGACCAGATACTATACATAGTCATAGTCTCTTTTGGCAGTGTAATTTAGGTATTATCGCTTTGCAGGTAATCCCCATTCATGGTTTAACATAACATGGAGATAGTGCCTAAATGTCAGGCACAAGACAGTGACAGTATGGTAGTTGTGCCAACTATGCTAGCAGCGCTGAGGAAAGCCAGACTTCTGATTTTCTATAGCATGAGACCCATATGGATGACGTAGGCTCACCTTGTAGGTTTTCTGCTCCATTTCCCCCTTGCACGTCTTTTCTGCACTCACTCCTTCACATCATTTCCTTATCCCCCTCTCCTTCCAGAATATACACATACATACATATATATATGATCCAATGAAAGGGGCAGGGAGAACACGATGAAGTTTCTTCCTGTGCATAACCCCTTAACCACACAATTATGTTTTGGAAGAGCGAAAACTGACCTAGGTCAATATCAGCCATACCTATTTATGTCATATTCACAGAGTGTGGATGGGCTCTTAAGTAACGTTTCCATGCCACTTCTCCTCTAGGTTATATGTACAGCACTGATCATCATCCTGGTAATCCTCTTGTTTTTACAAAAAATAGGAAATATTTTAAAGCAAATCAGGATACAGCCCTTGCAGATTTCTGTGGTAAATCTAGAAACCAGCTTTATAATGAGAACATTAGTGTAATATTTGATCTTGTTAAAAATAACCTACTTTATCTCAAGAGATTTAAAACTTCCTAGTGCCATTACTTCTCAATATGAGAATAAGCATCTTGAAGCTGTGCTTGGTGTGAATACCCTATTTTCATTTACAGTTCTTCTAATATCATTGGAAATAACTTTCTTCATTTGTGGTCTGCTGTTTGCCCTGGTTGTGGAAGAGTGGGTTTGGGATTATGCTGTAACAGTTACTGTTATTCATATCATCATAACTTCAGCTGGTAAGTAGGTTTACTGCTAAATATATGCACAATATATTGCATATAAGGGACCAATCATCTACAATTCACCTACTATATTACTGGAGTAACCTTACCATTTTTCTCAAATAAACTTAATGTATCTCAGTTTTCCCTCCATTTGACTCATGCACATGTTTAAATCCTGCCATTTAAAACCCTACTCTTTGTTGTAGAATTAAAAAAACATAATTTTCTTATAAAAACTTAAGAGCTTTAGTTTGCAATATGACAGTTAATGTCTAAAAGATCCAGCCTAGATACAACTTCAACATTTGAGAGGCATGTTCTTCTCTAAAAGGAATTAATAGTCGTCCATGTCCTGACACTTTAACACCCACTCAAAATACCTTACCTGCAGTTGGGAGTGAAAATGAGGCTTGCTTCAGCAAAGCCAATTCAAGTTTAAGTTAGAACACTCCAACTAAATCTCATTGAGGAAAATAAAGCATTTTACCTATTGAAGCACTTTTTTTCTGAAACTCTTCCTCTTTTCCCAGAGGGAAAAAAAATTTGGCTGCTGTAAACAAGCCTCATCATCAATTTTTGCCAGCACCTAGTAACTTTCCCCTCCTCTCCTGCTGTTTAACAGAATGCTGCCATGGCTGACTAGGAAATATATTTTAACTCTATCCATGCCAGAGCTGTGGGGGGACCTTTTTCTCCTGTAACAATAAGATTACTATTCTTACTCTAGAATTCAGGAATAGGAAAGGTATCACTGACCAATTAGGGCTTCCTCCCTACTACATAATAATTCATCTGTCCTTTTTAATGCTTTGTGCACTTCTGTTTTAGCAGTTTAGGTAGAAAGGGATTCCCCAGCTCCCATGAGAGCTTATGCTAGAGACCACTAAAGAGTTCATCTTAAAAGATTAAGCACAATTTGTCATGAATGATCAGGACCTAAACAGGAGTTTGTAATTTCAGTAAAGGTAAAGTACATCATTTATAAAATATAACTAAGTAGATATTTTACAATATAATGTAATACTTGCGTATCTTCCTTCTTAATGTTTAAAACCTTACAGTTCTTTTCCTCTCCTTCCAGTTATGTCTGAATTCCCTCTGATGTTACATTGGTGGCTGGCACTAGGTATAATTAAATTATTTAAAATTTATATTGTTAGAGTGTATGTATAAAATTAGTCTCATCTCAATACGTTGCGAATTGTCAGTATTTAAAGAAGAAATGTATGCTTTTGAGTTACAGTTCTTTTAAGGGCACAGACTAGTAGTTCAAGGCTAGCATTTGACTTGCCTTAATCATTCCTCTATTTTCGGACCAGAATGTACTCAATTTACTTACGTTAGTTTTCCTAACAAAAAGTAGTTTTGCTTATGTAGTTGAAATAAGCCACGCTTAAGTCCTGCCTGATCAAACTATCTGTCTCACCTAATTCACATATCAAAAATACAGTTGTCCAAACTAGTCATCCTTGGTACCCTTTATAATCAATGGAGAGAAATAGGCACCTTCAGAGGCAATTTGTGCCAACGTTATATGTAGATGTCTATGATAGATGAGATAAATCCTAGTCATCATATTTCCCTTTGAGTGAATGGCAAACCTATACTCTTGCATGTTTAATTTTCTGTAAAATTAAAAGTATGCTCCTGTGCTGGAATATATTATCTTGGGAAATAGTTAAGGGAGAAAATGGTGTCATTCTTTCTTTTATGGTGGATAAGAAGGATTGCCAGTTGTAGTAAATTTGTAAATGATAGAGACAGGCAAATAAATCCCCTGTCTTGCAACTGGTTTTGCATGAACTGGAACCTATACTGTCATAGCTGGCTAAAGGCTGGGGCAAAAAGTATAAGGAAACAGGCTACTTTTTAAAAATTAAAAGTAAAAGAAGTACTGCTTAAAGTTTCATAGAAAAGAAGTACTGCTTAAAGTATCACAACTTTTGTATTTCATTGTATAACTTAATACAGAACAGTCATGTATTTCCTTTCAGGATCTGGTGTAATTTCAATGATTTGTGGAGGACAGATTTTGGCATACTGTTTGTTCAAAGACAACTTCATTTACCCCGTTCTGGATGATTTTTGAAAAAGCACAATTTGAACTTGCATTTTTATTTATATAATTTCTATGATTTAATTAACAACATAACTTAAATACAGCAAGACACTGTCTAACTGTAAGGCTAATATTTAGCTTACTGGACCTTCTGTATCTTGCATTTGTTTATAAAATTAATGTAATCACTTTTAGCTGTTTGTAGGTACGTTTTCCATTAAGCAAATAACTACATATACTGTCTGTAAAAAAAAAAAAAAAAAGCAGTAACAGCAAGAGCAATGATGCTGCACTCTTGCAAAAACCTGAAAGGTAGAGAAAAAACAAGTTTGAAGTTAGTGATTTCAGAGTGCTTTTTATCTAGTGTATTTTATGAATACACTAGGCTATTCTAACTTTCGTTAATGATCCATTTATGGCCTGACTGTGGTGGAATGAGAAAGTGCAAATATTGCTTACAGATACTTTTTCACACATCCCTTCCTTTCTCCCCCAGCTGCATTTGGCCAATCCCAAAGAGCCAATCTATAGATTGTGGTAGTTAAAAAAAAAACAACACACACACACGATAGTGACTTGAAGCTACTCTTTATTTATTTAACTACAATAAATAGCAAAATTGCTAGAAAGTAATTTCATCTTAATTATAATGCTAGCAATTGGATTTCAACTGCAGTTTGCATGGAACAGCAAGACTGGATTGACGTTTGCACAGGAGTGCTAAACATTGGATTTGCCTTATTCTTATGCAACAGATAATGCCTCGGAGGAATCTGTCTTCTGCTGAGCTAATCAAAGATTTTAAAATTAATTGCAACTTTTTATAATTTCATGTAAGTTTCAATACTTCAAATACACAGGGAGAATCGCATTTCAGAATACTCCCTAAAGTAGGAGTTGTCTCTCATGAATGTTAGATAAGTAATTTTAGAGATAAATTGGGCATGTGAATCAACATGTGAGACTTTAAGTTTCGTAAAAGCAAATGAAGAATAACACATTGTCTACTGAAGTCAACAGAGACAATTCTGCAGAATCAATTAACTGACCCACATGGATCACTGGCTTGAACCATGGACAATATTTAGTTTGCTGTATTTGTATATCACCATAAATATTAGTGTGCAAATAACTGACTGATATTATGTGTTTAAAAGAGGTTTGCACACTTCTTCCAGATTAGCTTCAGCATAGAACTATGTTAAAAATGGATGGCAAATAACTACTGTGTAACGTTAATTCATATATCTGTATTAGTCCATGTGTAATTTGTGTGTGGGTAGCGTGCCATGTGGCACAGAACATTAGTGGATTAGATACAAAGTTAATCCATGGGTGGAACAAGTTTCTATTTTTGAACTGACAGGCTTTTACACTAAGGGTGTCAGCCTAGCTGCAGCGTGCAACAGTTCTGTTGCCCAGTCCTGACATTTCTAACTTTTGTTTTCTATTTAAAATCTTCAATCAGCAGCAAGAAATACTTCTAAACTAATATGAAGTGTGCTTTATCCCCAGGATTTCTCTAAAGCATGTACAACTAGGCCACTGCTAGAAAAACAATCACAACAAGAACTCTATGTAGGATTAAAAACCTTAGTCCTTCTGATAAAAAGTCATTAGACTGTTAATGCAAACTTTCAGATATGGAATGATGTGACAGTTTCACCATTATTTCTGTTTTTTCATCTTTTCCCTTACTTTTATGTTGAGCATCAATGTTAAGCATTAAAAATAATGTTTACAGTGTGGCCAAATTTCATATTGCCCAAATACATTTCCATCATGTAAGCAATTTAAGCCGTATCTGTGTGGGCATTATTTGGTTAGAGGGCCTAAAAGGTAATATCCAGTACTGACTGATTTCCATGTAATACAACAAAATGGTACTTTTCAAAATGACAAACCTGCCTATTTCTGGAACAATAAAGAAGTGACCCACTCGAGCAAGCTGGATGTGATCAGTTGGTAACAGTCAAGACACAGGTGGGAAAGGCGAGCTGCGGGAGGCAAACGAGCATTCTGTACATTTCACAACAGAGCTGCCAAAGACTACAAGAAAACACTGCTACTGAAGGTAAAAAGCAAACGGGAAAAGTAGCAACTGGGACATAGAAACGTAACAAGTGTGTTTGACAAAAGAACAGTGAAAGCAGGAGAAGAGAAGACAGGAACAGACAAGACCAGTGAAAGAAAAAAATCTACAGAGTGAATTTGTCACACTGGAGGCACACCACTTGACTGCAAGCTACACGTCATGATTTATTTCTCTTGGTCCTGCTATGTTTTTATCTAAGCCTGCACATGTAGACATGATTCGAGGAAAGGTGATCTCTGCATCCATACGCTTTCAGGTCCAGCAGCAGGACTTTCAGAATTCTGTGTTTTCTGACTCAAGCAGGTACAGGAATACTGCCTAGATGTGTTGGTGTGAGTTCAGTGTTAAATTATTTAACTCGTTTTGACGCAGTTTAGCAGTCACGAGTTTGCACAACCATCGCTGGGAGCAGAGAGGGTCTAGAAAACCTTTATTACAGGCAGATGGAGAATTTATCCTCTTCAGCTCTGACATTCCAAGCAGAGCTTGCAGAGAAGAAAGTTAGAAGTTGCAAACATTAGGTACAGAAATCAATGGAACAGTACACAAATGCCATACCATAACAATACCATATTTAGAGTCACTTTAAAACTTTCTTTCCAGAGATCTGCACTCCCTTTCATCATATCCAACCATCTACTGGGAGCGATTATAGTTCTCAATTTAGCACTCTCTCTAAACGGCTTTGTATTCATTCTTTTTCCAAATGGTGTAGTGTCGTACTTGCAACAAAGAATGTGAGTGAAATACATTTTTTTGGAGATTCTAAGCATAGATTCCTACACTAGTGGCACTGCCTTCAATGTAATGTCAAAGTGCAAATCACTTGGGAGAGTTGTTCTGGGACCAACAAACTGACTCAGCCATGTAAAAAACGAGCCGAATGTCAAACTATGCAGTGCAGACAATGTAACGACTTTTAGTTGGAATTTTCCTGAAAAGATAAATAATTTTCTAGTGAAGTAAAAATTAGTTATTCAGACTAAATCCATCATTTGTCCAACTCTTTAAAATGCTAGCCTAACATTTCCAGCTCCAATATTTAACATTTTAGCTTTGCACTCAAATTTTAAAAAGTAAGCAAAACAAACAACCTACAGTACTTGTTATTTTTGTACTCCTAAAAAATACCAACAACAGCTGCATCAATAAATATGGAAAATACAGTAAGAATGACACTAGATAAACAGCAATGAGCAGACGAGTCACCTGAGTTTGGAACCTCCTAAATTGGATATTCATGCACAGCATTCCTACGGCCCACAGACTCTTGTCTAGACATATCCATCCTGACCAAGTGACCTTTGTTAAACAGAGGAAAGATGCAAATGTCCTACACATTTTTCATTCCACTTTCTGGTATGTATGCTGTCACACCTTAAAGTGAGATCTTTGTTAATCTCCATAGGTATTTAAAGATTTATTTACATATACTGTATCTTCCAAATGTGACTTAGAATATTTCTTGGCTTAAGATCCCATGTAATGATCCATCTGCCCAGTAATGGCTAATACTGTAATCTCTCCTTTTTGTGAGCTAATCACAGCCCCAGACGGCATGCACTCTTTCATTAGATGTCAGAGAGGATAAAGGTCTTAGCGATGGCTATAAAATTTGATGATGTAATTAATACCTTTATTATTGGCTTTAAACCTTTTAGTGCTAGACTATGATTTTAAGTCACAGCCCTGTATCCCAACCTCTCCTCTGCTCAGGAAAAAAAATATGGATACCCTTAGAATGGTGAAGCCTTCTGCAGACACACCTGGATAATTATACCTGTGCTGTAGAGTAGGCAGACTCTGTGACTGACTTAAACCCTATTCCATCAATTCTCGTTTAGGGGGCCAAATGAATACCTTGCCGTTGTCTTCCTGCTCATACACTTCGGTTTCCTCTGCAAACAAACAAGGATAAAAGGTGGGAAAGATGTAAGCCTGGCTATCATCCTGACACGCAGCTGTAGCTGGCATTGACTTGGACTGGGGATCTGGAAAGCAGTACTAGGACTCAAATGACACAGTCAGAACCTGAGGAAAGGCCCTGGCCCCAATCTTTTAAAGTTGTCTATCTCTAGAAAATAATTTCATTCAAATACAAGCACAGTGATGGAAATTGCAGCTGCTGAGAAATATGCAAATGTACTTTCAGTCTCCTGCTGCCACTCTCTTAAATCAAAGGTATTCACAGCCTAGCCTTCATTGTTCCATGTTTTCCAATGAAAATTAAATCCTAACGTGAGACATTTGCTGTTGTTTTTCAAAGTGGTGTGCAAGCATAGGTCCACCCCTGCTTCCCATAACAAAGATCCCATCCTCTCTATTGGAGGAATATCAAGGCCCAGTCAAATGTACCCAGATCCTCTTTCTGAACTAAGTTGCCACCAGTTTTTCAACAGCAAAAGAAGTGTTTAAGTGTTTATTTAAAACATGAGGGATGGAAGAATGCTCAAATACATAAAGACTTACTACTTTCACAGCAGTCTTTGGATACCTTCGTGTTGAAATTAAATCTATGTTAGCAGCTTTCAAAAGGCATAGAAAAAGTACGATTTGATTCACTTTGGAAACCTTGAGTGGCAATGGGGGCCCGAACAAAGATGTACCTTTACGAAGGACGAAAAAGATTGATGTGTTTGATATCTCAAATGGTAGTAAATTCAAAAATCGTAAATATCAGTTAAATTTAAAAGGCAAATTCAAAAGGAAATGACACTTGTATGAATTTGCATTTGGCATTTAAAATTAAGCTGAATTCTAAGGAGTTGTTTTAACACTACCTCACTGTAACTTGTAGCAAATACAAGGGACTATTCCTTAGTACAGTCCCAACAGAAGGACGGACAGCCAACAAGGGGCAACGGCAGATAGAGCACGTGTTTCAGAAATGCAGCTGTTTCATTACCGAGGAAGAATGAAAAAGAGTTTGGAGGAT